ATTTTCTGACCCATTCTACTAAGCTTGCCTTCTCTTTCTCCACAGTTCGTAAGAAATGTGGCCTCCCACACAATACTTCAAGTAATACCACACCAAACGAATAAACATCAGACTTTAGAGTGGCGTTTATAGTATTCTGGATCCAAATAACCAATGCTTCCTTTCACTACTATGGAAGTGTGGGACTTGGACATCCCAGTGGGTCCTATTTTCGATAGTCCAAAGTCAGAAAAATTAGCCACCCATTTTTCGTCAAGTAAAATGTTCGTCGTCTTCACGTCACGATGAATGATATTTCGTATCGCACCCGTATGAAGATAATGTAGTCCTTGCGCTGCACCCCGGCAAATTTTCAACCTCTGCTTCCAGGAAAGGGGATGGTTGTTAGAATTGTAAAGATGGTCACGGAGGGTCCCACGAGCAATGAACTCATAGACGAGGATCATTTCGTTGCCATCGTTGCAGTAGCCAATGAGAGAGACTAAGTGATTGTGACGAAGCTGGGAGAGCATTTCAATCTCAGTTCGGAACTCGTGAAGCCCTTGTTGCGACCCTTGTTTGAGTCGTTTGATTGCCACCGGAGTTTGACCGTCGTTAATGTAACCTTTGTAGACGTTGCCGAATCCTCCGACTCCGATGAGGAAGAGTTCATCGAAGTTGTTGGTGGCGGCTCTGATCTCAACGATGGGAAAGTGATGGCACAATTCCGTCCGTACAATTGAGCCGCTGGTAATAATATTCACTGATTTGGTGACAGTAGATAATTGAAAGCGCTTGAAAATTCCATAATCGCTCGACTTGACGTTCATCCCGCGAGTAATGAGGTAGAAAGCAACAATGAGAACCAAAACGGCGACGAAAGCTGCAGTGCAAACCACGACCCCAATTATCTTGCTTCTTCTTCCCTGATTTTCTCGGGGTAGCTCATTAGAATTGGGTGGTGAAGGAGGAGGAAGATAAGAGTTGGGTCCGGCGAGATTTCGATCACTGATCTTGAAAATCTCAAGCCCATTTAAGAACGCGTCATTGTACTCCAACTGTGATTGCAAATCAGGATGCATTTTGAGCGAAAGATTAGCTGGTTTTGCATCACCTGGAATGATCACGGCATAGTCTTTATATACCGGAACTGCTTTTCCCTTTGCCCAATTTAAGACATTCGCACCAGGCTCAGCTAACTGGTCGGCTATGTAAATATCAAATATCCTGTTGTAGGAAATGTTGATATCTGGATTAAGCTCACAAAAATGGAGTCTCAGCATGTAGGTAAAACCAGAATCGACAGGAAACTCCCAAGTAAGGTTAGTGTTCTTGTTCAAAGTTTTATTCTTTCCCATATCGCGTTCTGTTCGGTAGACTCGCTCAGGTACTATGTAATTAGGAACTTTAGTGAATATCAGGGGTCTTCTCTCACCCTCAAAATCAGCAGGTAATTGAGAATGACTTACTAGAAAACTGTCATCGACGTCCCAAGATCGGAGCATTCCTGTGTCATCCGTATCTGAGATTTCGCACCCACCGACATTAAGCCGGTACTTTGTCTGGAGAGCAACGTTGTTGGGAATGTAAAACATGACGTCCGTACCAATTAAAGCGAATCCAGGGCTATCAGCTTTAGTGTAATAGAGATAATCAGGAATGGATACGATCTCGATCCCATTAACAAATGCATATGATTGTGGGTTTGTTGAATTTGGAGTGAAAGTTAAGTTGAGATTCCCACCATCGCCAACGTTGACACAATATTCCCTGAGGATGGTATCTTCATGGTTCGAATCAGCTGTGACCGAAGCATTGAAATCCTGAAGGAGTATGAACCCACCAGATTTGACAGTGAAGAAGGCATCAGAACGGTTAAAACCTGGATAAGAAGCTGGGTAGAAGAAGAGGCGGATGAATTTCTGGCCTGGAGACACAGGGAATGAATAGGAGAATTGGGAGCGAGATAGACGAGCTGTGGTGTGAGGGACTTGTTGAGCAGAAGGAGATTGAGTAAGTGCTGTGACTGCAACAGATTCGTCTTGTTTTGATAAGAACTTTGAGTCGATATCTCCGGTCCATGTCCGGTCATTTTCCGATGAGTTGCCGGAACAGCCACAGTTAATGCTGAATAGATCAACGGGGGTGTACAAAGAAGCAAGTGTGGAAAGGAAAAGATGGGGAAAACAGAGGAGGAGGAAGAAGATGGTCCTTAATGATGCAGAAGTAGTATAATTACTGAGGCTCATCTCTGGAAGAGGTAGACGAAGTCAGGTTTTGATGGAAGTAAATTTTGTAGTTCAATTAGCAGAAATCAGTTCCCGCTTTATAGGAGTTGGGTTCACGGATGCTAGTAGCCGCTTGCGAGGAAGCTTCTCGGGGGAGTAAACGTTCGAAGTCTATAGAATAAAACATCGTCCGTTGACTCCTTCTACTGTTCATGCCGCGTGGACCACTAACAAGTGGGGAGTCTCATAAACGGTCTATGTGACGGAGCAACAATTGAGGGGAACCACTCCATGCTTTTGTCCATCACAGTATACTCTCTCCTCAATCCTCATTCTTCACTTTTGGTTAATTTTAATTTGCAGTGTTTGCATTTAATACCCGTAGGAGCTAGTTAGAGTTTTTTTTTTTAACGAAATGTAAAAATTTAATTCATTTTATCTTTTAAATTTATAATTAGATAAAGATTCACTTAACATTGTGATGATATTTCTCAAATATACCTAACATTCTAATTCTTTTAGTAGAACAATTTTACCCACAATCTATTAAATGTTTGGTGCACTCTAACTCATGCTTTAGTTTTTTGATGTGACTGTAATTTGGTTACATTATCTAAAAGTCGTTAATAATTTTATAAAAGAAACAAAAATTATTAGTTTTAATCGTTAATATCAACAAAAGGAAAATAGTTATTTAAAATAAATTTTAAAAAACGATGAGATTGCATTAAATTTAAATATCATGAATAAAATTGCACTACTAAAAAAATTATAGTGCTTAGTGCATCTGAAAAAAAAATCAGGATGTTTGGTACTATTTTATCCCTTATAATTTTTTTGTTCATTGTTCGAAATGGCCATAGTATCAAATATGAAAATTAACTACCAATAAAGTCAATCATTGATGACGACTTATAATGTTTAAGAATATTGGAAAAGGATAATAACAAAAATGAATCTTGATGGTAAATAGTATAGGAATCAATTCTTGTATTAATAAAAAGGTACTTTAAGTGGCAATAAATTGGTGAAATTAAATAAGTTATTTATGCACAGCTAAGCCAATGATATTACAGATCTTCTGAAACAACTAGAGATTTAAGATTACTTCGCAATATTCTTTCCGATCTGTTAAAAAAAAAAATTCTTCACAATAAATATTAATATGTACTTGAAATATGCTTTTCTATTTTCTCTTTTTGGTGTTGAAATATAATATAATATATTAATATTCCACTATATATTATAATATATAATTATATATTTTAAGGTTGAATAGCTTGTCCGCAGCCGAGCCCTATGAATAGCCTGGACTGAAAATGTCCCTTTTTTACCAGTTGTTTTTGTCAAGTGGGGAGGGTCATTTTTTTTTACGGGTTTATCATGAGGTCAACCGGCACCATGAACATCCCCATGGTGTATGCAAAGAATCGATACGAAAGTTGTATCGATATTTATAAAAATATTATTGGTCACATGTTAAGCATGAATGGGCAGATAATGCGGTTTAAAAAAGAACTTTTCTTTTCTAGTGGTGAAGTGTGCATTGTATTTAATTGATGGACATAGTACATGACTCGCCGGTGGAGCCGTGAAAACGAGTCAAGCTCATCAGTTCAGTCGGTTTAAGCTTTTTTAAGTGAAGGGTTGAGTTTTTATTTTAGGAGATTAAAAACAGGGGCTTGAAAGGATTAACTTTCTAGGACTAAGAAATAAAAAGATCAACCCTTTTAAGCCGCCCTTCTTTTTAATTATTATTATCAAAATATTTATATAATTATATATTAGTCTTTTATAGACAAATCTAAACTAAAAAATTATCGAGAAGAATCAATACTTAAGATAATTAAAAAGAATTAGATGTCTTGTACTGGTGGAGGAACAATTAAAATCAATTCCAAATTCTTTCAAGAATAGTAGCTGATAGTCTTAGCATTTGAATCACTATAGTAGCCGGTGAATCTTCTACAGTAATGAATGACAACTTCAATAGGATTTACATTGGGTGCTCATCAAATTGATGATCACCTAGTGCTCATCGGATCTGGACCGTCCAGATTTAATTTAATTTTTATTTTTTTAAAATAATTATTTTAATAGGTATATGATAAAAAAATAAAGATAATTTCTTAATTATCATTCTTTAAAAAATATTTTTTTCTAGTTTAAACTAATTATTTAAAAATATTTAATTTGGACCCTCCAAATTAGATTTAGACGGTCCAAATTGCTTATCAAGTGATAAGCAGTGGGTGCTCATTGCTTGATGAGTACCAGATACGGACGCTTTTCACAACTGCCTCGGTGCCCTCCCGTCAGTCTTCAGTTTCATTACCGTCCCCCAAAATGAGATACATCCCGCTGCACCTTTATCCTCAGATGGTTTCCCTACTAAAGATAAAATCAGAATGAAAAATCAAATAAAGAATGATAAAAGCTTAACTTAATCTTTTATAAAATTACTTTTGCATAAAATAGTGAAATTAATTATTTAGCTTAAAATTAATTTAAGTTAATAAATTTAAATATTTTACAAATATAAAAAGAAGGACTTACATTATATCTCTTATTTTCATTATCTTAAGGTCTACAATCACACATGATTATTTGTCTTTTAGTTTTATATGAATTCATAGTTTAATTATAATATTTTAAAAATTAGAACACATAACTATATGCAATTAAAAATTTAACATAATAAATATAAACAACGAAAAAACAAAATATTTATTCATTTATTAGAAAACACTGGATCTCCGTGGTTTACTTTTCAGCAAGTCGTCTTGACGTCCGTGCTTTAATAGACGGCCATGGCCTTTGAATAAACAATACTCACGCAACAGACAGAGCTCTCGAACAGCAAAAATGAAGAAGACACTCTCGCTTATCTTCATCATGCTGATGGTCCTACTGGTTCACGCAGATCTGAGCAGAGCAACCTCAGGGAACCTCAACCACAGCTTCACCGCCGAGTGCGGCTCCGGCGACTGCCTCATCGGCGATGAAGTCGACGTGGTCGCCGAGTTCCAGATGAATTCTCACGCAGCAAGGATGCTTTACGATGTCAGCAGGTCTATCACTGGGAGAACACCGAACCGCGATCAGGCTTCTGTGGATTGCCCTCAAACACAAGGATACCGAACCTGCCTTCCCACTGCAAATGGAGGGGCTCCGAGACAAAAATGCGGCGATTACACTCGAAACTGCTGAGAAATTAGTCAGTGTCTTGTGGTTTGATTAAAAATTGTGATCTGATGGTGTTTGTTGCTCTGTTTTAACGCTTTCGGTTCCCCTTTATATGTAATTCTGGGTTTTTACCACTTTCTGTGTATCGTGAGAGAGAATAATAATGAATCGCACCTGTAATAAAATAATAAGAGATTGTGATTAGAAGTAATTTCTGTAGCACACGGATTTAATACGACCGATCAATTTCCGCATCGAGCCTAATTTTTGGGTAATAGTTGTGTTCTCTGTATTCTCCGATCACTTGGCATCGTCGGAAAATGAATTCGATGATATCTCACCCCCCTGAGTTTCTGTAATCATGTATTTGTGTTGCTGCGAAAAGCATGGGCGTGGAGACAAGACGATGAGGGTGGGGCCGCCCAAGTGGGCTCGTCTGGCCAGTCGCCAGTCGCCAGTCGCCGCCCCTCATCTACTTTTTGTTATCTTTTTTTTTCCCCCTTGGTAAGAGTACTTTTTGAATTTTTACTAATTATTATTTTTTATCTTCCATGGTTGTTATGCTTCAAACAAGTCGGGCATCAAAGTTGTGGTTGGGGTTTAACAATAATTGATCTTGATATTATGAGTATTACGTAGATGTCTATTTACCCTTTTCTTTTCATTTTCTCTAAATAACTTTTACTATCTTCGTAATCTATTACTCTTCCACTATTCATTCACTTTTGTAACTCACCTCTATTTACATCATGAGATTGATTATCAAATATTTGTTATTTAAGGATAATTATAACCTATGTATAAGACTATGCTTATAAATAGAACATAGCATTTGTGTTGTAGTACAAGTTAAGAAATACAAAAGTTCTTGTATTCTCTTGTCTTTATCTTTCTACTTTTGTGGTTTCATTTTGGTTCACTTTCATGAGATGTTATCAGCACGAAGTGTTTTTATAATTGGAAGGTGTTACAGTAACGCTAATTAACCGTAAGGTAAATTTTTATATTATTTTTGTACTGATTTGTTTCATAATTATTCCATTCTCTTATTCATATTGATTTGTTTTATAACTATTCCATTCTTTTAATATTAATTTCCATTTAACTTTTATATAATAGTATTATCATGTCAAATCTCATGACACTTGAGTTTGTGGCTCTTGACATTACTGAAAAGAATTATTTATCATGGATATTAAATTTAGAAATCCATCTAAATGCCAATGGTCTAGGAGACACAATCAAGGAAGACAGCCAAGCATCCAACCAAGATAAAGCCAAAGACATGATTTTTTTACGTCAGCATTTGTATGAGGGACTCAAGATTGAATATTTGACTATAAAAAATCTACTTGTTCTTTGGAACAATTTAAAGGAGAGGTATGACCACCAAAAAAATTGTAATCCTTCCTAGAGTTCGTTATGACTGGAAGCATTTACGTTTACAAGACTTTAAATCTGTAATTGAATATAATTCTGCAATGTTTAGAATCAGTTCTCAACTGAAATTATGTGGAGAAAAGATTACTGATGAAGATATGTTAAAAAAACATTCTCCACATTTCATGCATCCAATATACCCCTGCAGCAGCAATACCTTGAGAAAGGTTTCAAAAAATATTATGAATTAATTTCCTGCCTGCTTGTGGCAGAGCAAAATAGTGAACTTTTAATGAGAAATCATGAATCCTGTCCTATTGGCTCCACTTCATTCCCAGAAGCGAATGCAGTAGCAAGTGAATCAATCCATAGCCATGGTCGTGGACGTGAACGTGGACGTGGTCGTGGCTGTGGAGGTGGTCGTTCCCACCAGAAGTTGGCAAATGATGATGAGAATCACCGAAAGGAATCTAGTGTAAATGATAATCATGTTGAAAATCTTTGTTATCGTTGTGGTGGCAAGGGTCATTGGTTTCGTACCTGTCGTACGCCAAACATTTAGTTGACCTCTACCAAGAATCACTAAAAAATAAGAATAAGAATAAAAATAAAGGCAAAGAGCTAAAGGTGGAAACAAATTTTGTTGGAGAAAAAGGCGATTCTGATTATGGCAATATGGATGTTACTCATTTAGATGTTGCTGATTTTTTTGCCGATCTTGATAAAAAAAAATTGATCACTTAATTGGTGATGGAAATATCAAAAAATAAGTCATCTTGATGTATATATTTTATGCCTACAAAATTACCTTTTTTTAATTCAATTTCTTGCGTTTGATTATATTTTCTATACCAAATGCCCCCTGTTGTTCTTTTAGGGAAAAACATAGGTCAATTTGTTCACTTTCATATAGTCAAATTCTCCAGTTAAATAAAAAACCAGTCTAGGCAAAACGTGGGCCGATCAGAAGAAACCAGTCTATTCCAACCCATTAAAAATGGACTAGGTTGGACCGGATTGGACATCAAGTCTAACTGGGTTTCGGACTAACTCTTCAGATTATATAGTTTGATCTGACCCAGTGTCTATATCTTTTTTTTAAAAAATTTATATTATGTTTGATTACCGCATCCTTCTCTCTAATTTAGTTATTTGCAATATTTTCTATTTTATTTTTAGATTTGGTAAGTGTAATTTGTATATATGAGATGATTGTATGGTCTTAGCAAAAAAAAAAAAAAGCTTCAAGTTTACAAGTTTTTTTTCAAAGTAAAAAGAAAAAAAAGATGAGTAGTCAAGCAACCAAAACCGATTTAGGGGGTGTTTAGGTAACCCAATAAACACTTTTCAGAAGTACTTTTTTACAAATAAAAAAAAACACCTCCACATATTTACTTCGTATACCGTAAAAGCACTTTTGAAACTATAGTTTTGCTCTTATCCAAACACCTTTTTAGTAAATCGCAAAAAAAAGACTTTAGAAATTGGCAAATTACAAATAGGGACCTGTTGTAATATTAGTATTGGTTTTAAAACAATTAATAAGCAATTGACAACAATTTTTATGAATAGGTCTTTGTATGCAATTTTTTAATTGTAAAGATTTTTTTTACAATTTTTTCAAGAATCAAATCTCGTGGATATAAGGAAATGGACTGAAGTTTTGTCCTTTTTACGCTTAATATTATGTAATTATTTATAAAATATTACCAAATATAATTAGTAAAGTGATTTGGTATATCAAATAAAATCAAATGGAGAAAAAATTGAATCAAAAAACTGAAATTGTAGGTGTACAAAAAATATTTTATATTTCTATAGAAAACTGGTAAAACATAAAATATTAAGCAATGATAATATGAATTTAAAAATTATTATTTGGAAATTTAAAGTTTACACTACCGTGAAACTGTATAAATTTCACTGTAAAGTATTGCCAAAATTTAATATATTACCTTCCATGCAACTGGAAATTCATAATTATTCTTACCGTCAACAAAGCGATACACATACAAACACACCTACAGAAGAACAAAGGAAATCATAGGCAGTGAAATATATAAACAATAAAAACCTTTCACATAACATTTAAACTATAAAAACTCGGTTGAAATCGTTGCACCGTTGATCTATACTTTTTCTATTTGATGGGTCAAGGTAGGCGGCATCTGTGCATTTGGCACTTGGAGGGCACTTTACAGCAGACTCCTAATGATTGGCCTGACTAGTAAAGAATTGATTTATAACCTATAAAGTTTTGAGTTAAAATTTTACTATCAATGTAAGAGCTTTTGATGGGCAATTGTAGTTATCTCTGCAAGAATCTTTTGAGCCTAGAGACATATAATTCAGCTCATCTGAATTTTTTTAAATAAAAAAAAAATCACAGCAGGTTGTACTCCTAGTCGCTGCCATCCTGACATCGAAAAGCGCTATGTGGAAGTTCATCATCATCTGGAGCTTGGCACTATCATCCAAGTCGCAACCGCTGATGAGGTAGTTGACGGAGTCGCTGCATGCGGTGGTGATGAGGCTGCTGTTGACATTCCTTGAAGTCGCCTTGCCCAGATCTACATGGACGGAAGAGGATGCTCTCAGTGTCCCCTTCCCTCAGCGTCTCTTAGCATCCATATCACATCCATCAGAGTTAATCTAACAGCTCAAATTCTGCCACATCATTATGCTATTAAAAGGTAAAAATAAATCTTAATCGTCCTGCAAAATTTTTTACCGGCTTTGAATTATTTTTGAAGATTTTTTAGCATAATATCCAATTCTTTTCGCCAACCTCATCTCAACTAGAAGAGTTATGAGAAGTGACTTAGATAACCATAAAGGATGAAAAAACTTAAACACCAAATATTTATATATAGGTTTTCGGACTTATCCAATTTAAACTAAAAGATTCATCTCAATTTAGTCTAACACAAATCGTAAGACCATAAGGAGTTTCAAAACTATACCAAATTAAAACTATAGCAAGTATTATTTTTTTAATTTTTAATTAAAATACTAGATGGCAGAGCTTTGCTATTTTTGTGGTCGTCTGACTCAATTTATATCTGAACTCCTAATAAACTCTATAGTTAAAATAAGTAGGTCCAAGATATTAGGTGTGTCACTCTAAATTTTTTTTTAAAAAAATACTTTAAAGCTACTAAGCAATTTTATAGCATAAGTCATATTTATTTTTAGTTTTTAATGGCATGATGATGTAACATACTGTGAGCTCTTAGATCAATCTAATGGACCATGATGCGATGCTGAGGGATGCCGAAAGACGCTGTCGTTGAGAGTATCCGAAACCTACGTGCACAAGTAGGATCATCCACTGGAGGAGGAACTCTATTAGCAAAGAGTTCATTCATTATCTCTCCTCAAGGGTTTTTTGTTGTGAATCACTGAGTTCTCCGTTCGCACCAAAACCAATATATTTTGAGGTTGTAAATTCTCTTATATTTTTTGGCAAATCTTATGAAGATCAACTCAACATAGGGAGAGCTTTCAAATGAGGGGAAAGAAGAGTAGTGAGGTTAATGAAAAAGATAGGAGGAAAAGTGTCATCTCGTTTTTTAAAAAAAAAAAGAAAGAAAGGAGATGCTAAAAGGGCATTAATTTTATCTACTAATCTTTTTTCTTATGTAGCATTATTTTCTATTCTTGTGATATAAGTCATGATTCGAGGGCAAATCTTTTTAAAAAGGGGGGAATGAAAATCTAATTACTAAAGAGACTAAAAGAGACTCATCAAGAGTTACGATGCTTAAGAGCCACAAATTAGTTTATTTTTAGTTATTTTATGTTTTATTTATTTGAGATATTTTATGTTTTATTTATTTGAGATTTCTTTTTTAAATTTGAGGATTTTCCAATAA